GTCAGGCCAAACTTTGTTGAGTTTTTACAACAAACTCTCAATCATAGTATGAAGTTTCAGCCTGGGGACAATAGGCTGACATTTTACATGGGATTGAGAACTGATTAAAAATTAGTAGCATATTGAAAATGGATCTTAGTTAGATTAGGATCAAGTTCTAAATTAGTCTAAATGCTTGTAAACTTGGAACAATGACACTTGAGGTTCCTCATATGGTAGAGGATATACCTATTCTATAGAGTATTGAGGATAATAGCCGTTTAATTATTATACGTTTTGGAACAAGGTTTCCTATAATTGATGTTTAAGACAATGAAAGACCAATCTTTCATCCAAATGAACGCTTAAGTTTCGATTAATCGTTAATCAGTCGCTTTCGAATTGAGGACTATTTTCATTATTCTAATATATTATACATTCTATTTATTACATACTGCAAAAACAAGCTATTGCATTTAGGACCACACAAATTCACCATCACTACCATTACCATGTGTATTAAAAATCTCTACGAAAACAGTCGACATTAGAAACATACTACCAATTTATTTTAAAAACTTCTCCCTATGTGCCATTCCAGTTCTATTTTTCTTATTCATGATTCAATGGGTTTTCGTGTGTCTTCGGAGCAAGAAATCAAGTCATTATTTTGGCTCAGTCAACCAAAAGATTAACATGCGAGTGTACTTGCCTTAGTCTGCTATTCGAGTTGTAGTAAATAGGAGATTTGTTATGCTAGTAAGATAGTCTTGAATATGCATATAATAATAGATCCAATATTTATGCTCTTCACTTGTTTTTTTAAGGGGGAAAATCATCGAATGACTTCTCCCGCCTGGGCGAGTGTCAGACTCTTACTGACTAAAAACCACCCCGTTCCTACTTCTGCACTTCGAGTCCGATAACCCGTTAGGTTCTCCGCGGCGACTTTGTAGGTTAGAACAGCTTTGAAGAAAGTTAGGGGTATGACAATGCTTGAAAATTACTAAGAAGAAAAATTATAAGCTATTGAATGAAAAGTATACGTAGATATGATAATGGAATTGCTAGGCACATTCAGCAACACGTATACGACTATAATAAAGCTATAAGAACAAGATGTTTCATCGCTGAAAATGTGTTTCCTTTCAACGTTCTTGTAGAAATTACTTTCAACTCGGAATCATTATTTATTTTACTAACGAACGTAACACTAGTAAGCGAATTGTGTTTACGCTACACAATACGAACGTGACGCAATTTGTAACACCCATTGGGGGAGAGGGGGAGGGGGGAGACTTCAAAGGGCTCGCCGACAAAGCGCTAAATAAGATGAAAAAAAAAATATACATAGAAACGACAATAGCCAGGGAAATCGGGGCCTTTGCAAAGAATTTTCCCGTATTTTTCCTTTTTGTCAAAATTGCGTTTGCTAGTGCAGAGTGTGCGCTTCGATTCTTTTGTCGTTCATTTAACACGTTTCGGGGAAATAGCGCTTTGTTAGCACCACATGTTTTGATAGACGTTGTTTCATGAAAAAGGTTTTGTTTACAAGATATGCCATTTTATGTTTGACGTTTGGCTTTTTGATATTTGAATATGGCGCTGTCAAACGGTATGTCCGCTGTAAACTAAACATATGAGACCAGCTCTAGTTCGTTGTGCAAAAATATTTTCCAGTTTCCAAGTATTTTGTTACTTCATCGTATAGTTTGTTTTCTTGTTTTTTCTGTATTTTCCTTCTACAGTTTTCAGTACCCCTTTCAACATTCTTTTATAGAGATTTCATTGAATCCTTCTTACCTATTGTCCACATAATGATTATCGTTTGTTTTTAACTTTGATTCCAATTACAAAATTGACCTGCTTTATGAATAAAGGATCTTTTCGTAGGATCTAGAACCTTGTAATGTGTGCCGTGCGGTTTATTTTAACTTGGCATGCAGTATGATTGTCTCTGTTATAATAGACTATCTATTAAACTCCAGAATTTAAAAACTTTTGGTACATGTTTAGGCCTGTAAAACCTATTCTGTTTGCTTATTTTGGCCATAATTATGTAATGAAAACTTGATTCTTTTACAATAAAAACAATTGAAAATGAAGATACTCAAAATAATTATAATTTCACCGAACTACATGGTAGCATTTTCGATAAAAAATATAGATAAATCATGATAATGATCGAAAACATGTAATTTTAATTTACTAAGCTTCCTTAATTATTGAATTTACGATAATTAACAAATTAAAAGATAGCACTAATGATGTCGACAAGGTTTTTTTTAAAGTATTTGTTTATCAATGCATGTCATGAAATGGCATCATGTAGGTATCTTTTATTGTTTGCCACCCTTTTTTTATAAAAACCGTAGGATTTTCTCATGTGTCGTGGCTCGTAGGTACGTTTTACAAACATACAAGTTCACATACTTATCACACCCAGACCAGGAACGCCAATTTGTAGATCACACAAGGAGTTGTTGCGTGCGGGAATCGAACCCGTGACACGTTACGCGGCAGCCAGTTACCCAACCAGCGCCCCAACCGTGCAGTCCAATTATGAAGTATTTTCCTTTTTTTACTTTTGAAACATAAACAAATATAAAATAAATAATAATCTGTCAGTCAGTGAAGCTGAAAATGTAGATTCGAGTGGAGAAGAACGAGCAAGAAACTTCTTTCGTCCTCCTTACTCTTTTATCTAGATGTCGACGCACCCTTACACAATTGAAGAAAATTCCCACTACATACAGAGAGGGAGAGAGATAGATAGATCCGGTTCTACTTTACAGACCCATAGAGAACATAGAGCCTAATATCACAAACAACACTCATTCTACCACACATTATTGCAATATAACAAAACCGAGTTTCTATTAATATCGACATGCGCAAGAGTGGCACTTGAAGTCATTGCGGACGGATAAGCTGTTATCATTCGTTATCAGTTAATCCAACGTACCGACAGACTCATTACACCTGCATTAGTACCTGTATCTACCTGTTGTTGTTATTATAGATCGGATATTGGAGTATTATTGCCGATAGGGGTCGCTATAGGCGAATAAGTAGTTGTGTTATTTCCTGAAAGAAGGAGACTGAACAATCTGAGTTTTAATGTAACGATTGTATGGCCGTAATCAGCCCCGTCTTTACCATAAGGGCTATCGGCTGCTCAAAAGTTAGAATAAGGATTTTGTTTGGAATTTTTGATTTTTCATATTTCTTTAATTACTTAGGGGTTTTAGTAAAAATAGTTTGTTATTGTCTCAGAAGTGTTTTTATTTTTTATTCAATATAAGTAAAGGTACAACAAATACTTGCTATGTCATGCTTGGGTAGGTACCTATATGTTTAGGAAAAATGTTATGATGTAATTAAAATTGTTTGTACAATCAGCGTCTCTCGCCATCAAACGTCAAAGTTTGCTGAGTTTATATTTAAGGCCATACCTATGTAAAATAGCAATGAATACCTATGTAAAATTGCAATGAACAAAATTTGTTTAAAAAAAGACTTTCTCCGTGTGAGAAGAGGCCTTTGGTCAGCAGTGGCCAACTATAAGCTGTTAATGATGAAAATGAATCGGTATTAACAACAATCATGAGACGGAAAATCGTATGTTATAACCACCACGCTGCATAAACTTAGTTTTATATCCCATGCCGAAGTCACTCAATAAATAAGTGGCCATATAGTCAGATCACACAATGGTTATCATAAATAATTATCTATGTATGACTATGACTTTATTGCTCTGCTATGCTAATTATTGACATTGTGTAATACTTATTAGGTGTTTTATGGTTGTTGGTTCATTGGTCGTTTGGTTATAATGTGACCTGTAGATAAAGCGATCTTGGTTAGATTCCTAGGTTGTAAAATTTGTGTGGTTCAATGTTTTTTATTTTTTAAATTCTCAGTCAATGCCAATTTCAGGGTCAGCTATTGATGATTAAATTATGTGTACCTAGTGAATGGTAATACGATAAACTACTACTGAAAATTAAGTTGAATAGAAGTAGCCTTCTGATAATCTCTCTTAGAATATCTAATTTAAAATTATGCTTTATAAGGCTATATAATTAAGGACCAAAATTCAAGAAAACAATTTACGACTTAAACAAAGACATTAGAAACTTGTTTACATAACATATCTCCAAGAAAAACTGATCACTATCCCATTAACGATAAGTCTCAAAATCAAACACCCAATAATTACTCGACCAAAAATAGAATAATTCATTAGTTAATGCGCAAAACGTCATAGTGAGGAAACAACATAAATCTTTGCAATTATCAAATTCTCGGTGGCACGCTCATCTGCATACACACATACACACAAACACACACATGTAAGTCGTACGCACGCGCGTCGGTAAGATCAAAGAGAACGCGACCCCTTTGTAGGTGCCGCGGTCGCGTGCTGTCTTTTTCCCCAGGCCGCTAGGTGGCGTTAGGGAGCCCGGGTGCGAGTGAGACAGCTATCAGCTGATTACAACGCTTACTACGTGCATATTTCACCTCGTTATCCTGCCTTGTTTGTGTTAGAACTAGTGATGGGACACCACTCGGATAATCTTATCGATATGCCGTGATTAATGATCGTTTTTGTGAATGAATCAACGTTTTTATACAGTGTTAAAATTCATGTCTGAGATTAAGAAGTGTTTTATGTAGATAAATTTGTTAATTTTAACCTTAGCCATGTGTGAAACTTAATATTGAATTTTTCTCACATTAATTATGTTGAGTAAATATTATAATAATGACAGCTGATACTTATCGATTAGTGTTTTAATGCGAGGATTAATATTTCGTATCGCAGTCGTTTTCCTTGTATCCTGCACCAAAATAAATGTTATGAACGTAATAAAAAATAATATATTATAATATTTCTCTTGGCCATTTCTGAACAAATTAGAGGTCAGCAATGAATTTTAACCTAACTTTTATTATCCAACAAAATTTTAAACAAATAAGCACCAAAATAACACTTACTTTTCTTTATTCAACAGTTTATCGACAGCGGCATCGACCGTGTCCCATCACTACAGGTACAGCACCCGTTTGCAAGACAGGGATCTGCCGATATCGATACTAGTAATTAAAATAGACTTACAGCGTCTCAACTATGCACACAACGCTATCGTAGATGGCGTGGCGATCGTTTATGGGAAACTGGACGTGGGAAGAGTATGATTCACCTTAGTTGAGATGATTTTATGACGACAGTTGATTATTAGTAAATGGGTTCGCGAAATCTAGGTACACAGCTGTTGTTTAGGTATAAGTTAGTCTAGGCCTTGAAGGAATTAGGTAGTTTTAGTGTATCTTGAATTTGATTCTAAGGTTGAGCTAGTGTTTTTGACAATTCGAAATAGGACAAATAAGATTTATATTAATTTGAGAATTACTGAAATCAAACTTTAAGGCGGACAAGAAGACTTTTGAATAATATGAAATCATCCCGCTTTTTATCTCCAAAGGGGTAGACAGAGGTGCACAAACGGTACTTAATACCACTCTACAATGTAACACCAACTTTTCAATATTTATGTTATGAGTCCCATGTAATAGGATGTTGAGCCTGTTTATTATTAAAATATCGATAAAACCTAAATTTCTCTACTTATCTCTTCTAAGTCCAAATAATCTTATTTTTCTTTGTTCATAATCTTTGAAAATATTAGATAATCATTTACTTAATCTGTTTTTGTCAGTTAGCCAGGCCAGTTGTGGTTAACTTTGACCTTCCGAACTCAAGTTGAAGAGGTCAGAACTTTAAGTACATAGTTAAGTTTCTTAGTAACTTGGCAATGATTTGTTTGTTATTTAAGATTTATACTGACTTAGGTAAGTTAAGGGTTATTTGCGAATAGAATGTTATAGTGAAATCGGTAATAAAGTAAAATATTAAATAATTATTTTATGACTAGCTACTTCTGCGCGGTTTCACACGCTCTGCTCAGCTCCTATTGATCGTAGCGTGATGTTTTATAGCCTATAGCCATCCTCGATAAGTGCGCTATCCAACACAAAAATAATTATTCAAATCAGACTTGTAGTTACGGAGATTAGCGCGTTCAAACAAAAAAACAAACTTTTCCGCTTTATTTAATACAATAGTATAATAGTATAAGATATAAGATGACAAGCGTAGCTTAGCGGGTGGCAGATATGTGCCTAGGTATAACCGGACTTACTTATAGACAATCGGTTTTACCCATATTAAAATATCCTTTAACCAGTTGTAGGTATGACAGTTTCAAGCATAGACTAAAGTAGCATACTACAATATAATACAGACTTAAAAGTCCGCCTCAATGAAAAATCACATAACATAACATCACGCCTTTTATCCCCGAAGGGGTAGGCGGAGGTGCACACAGAAGTAACACCCACTTTTCACTATTTATGTTATGAGTCCCATGTAATAGGGGGTAAGCCTATTGCCATATACCGGGCACTTTTCCAGACTCCATGCTACTACTGAGATTCTTTTTTTAAATCCCAGTAATACTTTGTCCGACCCGGGAATCGAACCCCTTGCCTGGCAGTCGCACTTGCCACCACTCGGCCATCAAGGCAGTCGATGAAATATCACCTTTTTTATTTTAAATTAAGGTGTTAAATTGATCGATACTCGCTAATCTAAATAACGTTCAATGAAATTAAAAACCAAAAGTAAAGTTTAAAACACAAGACATGCATATCACAAACACTAAAATGTAAATAACCTGCACCGATTAGAAAAAAAATAAATAAAAAAAACAGACGTAATAAATAGAATAAAAAAATACAAAATACCTGCGAATAGCAAAGAAACGTACTCGTTAAGATGGATAATTCCATACAATCGTCTAGTATAAAGAGAATAACGGTATTAACCAGTATTAACCGTGAAATGACAAGGCGCGGTCCCTACGACCCCACGTTAATATTTTACAGGGAAATGACATCGTCAACTGACGGCTCTGCGCATTACTTTTTCCTTTTGATGTTCGCTCATGTCTGAAGGCAATATAATTTTGTTTATTTCCATTTAAACTGGGCGGTTTTCGTTCGATATGATGTTTCTGTGTAGGGTTGATTTTTACTTTTTTTTTGTGTGTTTATTTATTTATTTATCGGGTTTGATTTTTGGCGGTTTTTGTTTACTAAGCAGTCGGTTAATCGTAAATATTTTATGTGGTTGCAATATTTTTAAAAACATTATATTTACCATAAATTTACCGCTATATAATATACTAGCTTTTACCCGCGGCTTCGCTCGCGTTCCAAAAGGATAAAAAGTAGCCTATGTGACATATACCAATACACACAGCGCCATCTATACCAATACTTTTGTTTTCCCTCGGGAATATCACATTTTTCCGGGATAAAAAGTACCCTATTATTTAATCCGGACGTCTAACTTTACGTCTGTAAAAATTCAAAGCAATCGGTTTAGTAGTTACGGCGTGAAAGTGGAACAAACAAACAAACAAACTCACTTTTCGATTTATAATATTATTAAGGATTGTTGAACTTATGCGTAGGTATTCCTACTAAACAACAATCAATTGGCAACTACGACCATATCTTTTTTAACTTACAAATACATTATTGAATAAATAATGCCGAGTACAGTTGATTTTAAAATTGTACGTTGCCACGTATGATCGGATGGGATCAGACGACTGCCTGTCAAGTAGCCTGTGACGACTGAACGTCAGCATAATGATAACCTGTGTTACTAACTGGCTGACAGCGTGCCATCAAGTTATCATGCATTTTACATTATTAACCTTTATGAGGGGTCGCTAATCATATTAGATTTGCTTTCTAAGACTGGAGTCGGTAGTTATTTCTGCTGTATAGTGTTTTGTTAGGTTATGCGTTGCGTTTTTATACATCATTCCTATGTTTAGTAATTTTTTAAACTCAAAGTCATAATTATTTATTTCAATTAGACCAGGATGGCACTTTTGAACGTCAAACAACAAAAATTTATAAGAGAAGCTAGTTGCTCATTCCAAGGCGTAGATTCCTATGGAGAAAAACAAGCAAGAAACTCCATAATCTAGGGAATAGGATATTCTGTAATCTTCATAACATGACATCATCACGCCTTTTATCCCGGAAGGGGTAGGCAGAGGTGCACATTATGCCACTGTACAATGTATATCTGTAATTTTCAATTTGAAGGTTCAAAGTGTGTGGCTCGTCGTGGTCCGCCATGTCATTGGTTGCTAGAATAATCTCGACCAATGGCGGGCGAGAATGCGATCCAGCTCAATTCGAACGTTGACGTTGAATGACAGTTACAGAATAACTGTTTAAAAAGTTTTCTTGTTATGTTCCAAGTAAAAAAGGTTAATTCTACAGAGCACAAAAAGGGTTTCGTGAGCACTTTTATAGTGAAATTGAAACTCACAGTCATTTATTGCATACTTTAACTTATTAACTTTCTTTCTACCCATTTGAATTAACATCATTTCGTAGAAAACCTCATATAATATTTTATTAAATTTCAAACCATATAGTCATGAATTTCCTGAAAAATACTTAAAGCCATTACGACTTACAACTTAGGTAAAAATACATTAAATATACTTTCAACCCTCGCGGTGCCGATGTAAGGTCTAAAGGACCCCGCGGGTGAATTTTCGCTAAACAATGCATACATTTATATTTCCTTTGAAGTGGCGCCGTAGGGCTCGCGTCATCTGCAGGGTTAACCCGCAACCTGTTTATTACACGTGGAAAATTGAATCCGCGACGTTATATTTTTTTAGTACCTATTTCATCTAGTTCGTTTTATGGGTATTATATTTAATGTATGTGGTTTGAAAAGGTAAATAAGGGGTTGAAAGAAAGGTGTGTTATTAAAAACGTGTTGAATATATTTATACATAAATACATACATACATACCTACATACATTAGTTCACGCCTTGTCTCCCATGGGGGTAGACAGACACTATGGAACGCCATTGCTACGGTTCTTACATACCTCTTTCGCTTCATCAACAGTCATCAGTCTTTCCATGCATGCTCGTCTATTAATAATTTGGCCCTTCTTTAATATATCGCTAATCTGGTCGATATACGTCCGTCTAGGCTGCCCTCTATCGACGGCTCCATTCATATCCGCTCTGTATACTTCTCTCGTTACTCTAATTTCATTCATCCTTTCTACATTATTTATCTATTTGGGATTAACTCTTATATAATCATTTTAATACTAAACATTTGCCTACATTAGCTAGGCATATAGTATACTGGACCTTATTACCACGTCTAAAGACACAGAACAGTTTTTCATAGGTACATAATAATACTTTTTTTTACAAGTTCAACGACCAACCTGTTCGTTTTAATCAAGATTATGACCTTTGACCCCAAAAAGTCCCCAACTCTATCGTTACGTGACTTGGAAGACCCCACTTAGACACGAAAAAAAATGCGTAGACGCATGTTTCAGCTATTAAATTTCGTTATACCCTGATGTTAGATTGCTATTGGGCATTCTTAAATATTTTTTTATTATTTAAATTATAAATTTATTAATATTATTTGTAGATTTTACATGAATAATGCATTTGTAAACAACCTTTAATAGTGTGCACTTATGTTTATTCATTAACAGATGTAGTGTTTCAAAGGTTGCACTGATTCTAGATAGATACACATAGACGAATAATAAATTCTAAATATATTTTGTCCTTACTATAATATCACATTTACCGTAAAACATTTCGTACTATTTAATATTAATATACATTTATTCACGAACTTCTTGCAAAAAATCTGTTCACACTCCAAAACAGATTGACACATCACAGATGTCGTTACATTAATCATACAAATTACTATATCATAAAATCTATAAAAGCAACACTTAAAAATTCAACCCCTCACGGTCGGGTCTAATCGGCCCCCGGTACAAACGAGCCGACAACCCAGTATTAACCCTTTGACGTGTCGTGTGGTTTAATTGCCCCCCTTCCTCGTGTTTATTAAACGGAGTCTCGGACAACACTATTTGTCATGTCAACCTGTTCCCATGGCCT